CTCCCCTCCCCTCCCCTCCCCTCTCCCATACTTTTCTTCTCTCCCACCCAAAATCTCCTCATTATCCGCGGCTGCAACCAGGTACCCCGCCAGCATCCAGGAGCTGGGGGGTCAACTGCTGGAGGACCTCACCCCGGCAGAATCCGCCGCCCTCAAAGGCTCCGCCGACTTTGTCGCACTCCAGTAAGAATTGGTTTCCAGCCGATTCGACCCCGCCAGGCAGTACTGCCCGCTTGGGAACCGTGCCGGCTGCATGGGAGGACTCCTGATTCGCACCCATCGCCTTTGTTTGCCCTTGGGCAGCCGAACTTTGAACAGCCGATGCTATGCTGGTCCTCCCAGGCACGTGCGGGAGCTTCAAGAGCCACAGCCTGTCTGCCCCCTGCATATCCCCTTTTGCTAAGAGGCGTCAGGTGACCGAATCTCACTGGCGGTCACCGACGTCGTGCTTGCTGCCCCCTCTCTGGGTCCCCCCTCTCGCGCTCACGCTCACAGCCCACGCCCGACCCGCCGCGTCCGCTGCCCCTTGCTTTGCTGCCCCTCTCACCAGGTACTACTCATCCTCTTTCATCGGCGCCGACCTCAACACGCCCCTGGGGATGTTCATGTCTGACGTGGACAGGTGGGGGTGGGGGTCGGCGCTTGGGGAGTGGCGTGTGAGTGTACGTGTATGTATGTGCGAGGGTGCGTGGTCGTCGCGGGGCAGGGGCCGCAGAGCAATTGGGCTGTGGGGATGGGAGTGAGGGGGGGGGGGATGACTCAAGGGTTGAGTCAAACGGCGCATTGACTTACCGGTGGTCTCAGAGGCGGCATGGCGCGAGTTATGAGCCCTGAGGATTTCAGCCATGGAGCCCACCAGCTCGGCAGCCGGACGCGCAGCCGCCGCGGCGGCGGCGGAGCAAGGGGCGCGGCTCTGACTTCGGCATCAGTCGGGGCGGAGGCGTTCAAGGCACCGGCGGGCCAGAATTTTACCAGGAGTGTACCACTGCTGGCACTGTCGGCATGTGAAGCACTCATCATCCCCAATGTCACCCGATACCACCCCCCCCCACCCGGCCCCCAATCGCAACACGCTGGGCGCAGGCTCGGGCGCCCCATCGGGGAGCGCGCGGCCGCCAGCTGGCAGTACGTAGTGCCTCAGGGGCTGTACAAGCTCTTGAAGCACGTGGATGAGCGGTACAGCCGGCCCGAGATCATAATCGCAGGTGTGATCTGGTGGACGATCTGGGCGGTCTGGATGGACGGGCGAGCGGCCGCCACTCGCGCGCCGCCCACCGCGCGCACGCACCTGCCTTCCAGGCAACGTGGCCGCCCACGCAAAGCTTTGCAGGCAGGTTGCCAGCCAAGAGCTAACCAACCGTTCACGGGCCATCTGATGACGACACATCCCGCATGCCCTCACTCCTGCCGCCGCCGACGCGTGTGCAGGCGTAGGGGTGGCCGTGCCGGGGGAGGAGGGCAGCGGCGACGCCGCGGCCGTGGCCGATGGCTTCAGGGTCGACTTTTACAGGCGAGCGCCCCGGCCTGAACGTCACACGTTGAGGCATGACCCACATGCGGATGGGGGGGTCCGGTGGGGTCCGGTGCGCCCCTTCAGCGACGCGCCCTCCACCCCACACACAGACACCCTCCCTCACCCCCTCCGCTCTCCCCCCACCCGCACCCGCACCTGCACCCCCACCCCTACCCCCACCCCCCCCTGCTGGCTTTCACCTTCGGCCGCCGCAGGTCCCATTTGGCCGCGCTGTGCAATGCCACGGCGGAGGGCGTCAACGTGTCCCAGTTTTACGCCTGGTCTTTCCTCGACAACTTCGGGGTGAGGCGCGTCGTGCGTCCAAAGTTATGCGTCCAAAGTTATCCAACATCCCTGGCGATCTGATGGGATCCAGCCTTGAGCTGATACACGGGGCAGGCAATTGCACCTGTGGCGCCGTCGGCTTCTTTAATGCATCCCGCCACACGCACACCGCCCGTGCGAGTCAGTACGTGAAACTAGTACAAGGACCAGTGCAAAGCTAGCGACCCACAGATGGAGACGCGGTACCCGGCCCCCGGCCAACATCAACGGCCGCCCGTCACGTGCTCGCCACCCGCCGGCCACCGCAGGGTCTTGAGGGTTACGCGGAGCAGTACGGCATCGTGCATGTGGACTTTGACTCGCCGTACCGCAACAGGACAGCAAAGGCCAGCGCCCATTTTCTCGCCAGGAACTTTTTCAGGGTGGGGGCCGGCAACGGCGGCGGCGGTGCTGGCGGCAATAGCAGCAGCGGCCGCAACAGCAGCCTCATCGGCAGCAGCAACAGCAGCAGCAACTTCAGCGGCAACATCAGCAGCGGCAACATCAGCAGCAATAGCAGCAGCAGCGGAAGCGGAAGCAGCAGCACCGGGAGCGGCGGCGGTACCGAGAGCAGCACGAGCAGTGGCCCAGACGGAGGTGCGCAAGGCCTGGCTGGAGGCGGGGTCCAAGCCCCGGTCCTGCCGCCTGCAGCGCAGCTGCAGAGGGGCGGCGGCGGCGGCGGCCCAGCGGCGCCGCCTACAGGTGCGGGGCCTGACCGGGGCCGGCGATTGCGTGGTTTGAGTGCATTCGAGCTCGCGGTGTGATGCACGCCCGCCTTGCGACGCCCAGCCGTAACAAACGCAGTGGCAGCGGCTGCCATGAATGCGGCAGCAGCAGAAGCAGCGTTGCCGCGGCGGCGGCGGCAGCAGCAGCAGCAGCAGCAGCAGCAGCAGCAACAGCAGCAGCAGCAGCAGCAACAGCCGCAGAAAATCTGACAGCCGTTGCGCAGCAGCTAGCCGTCTGCACGCGCGGCGGCACGAGTCCACGGCAGTGTTGTCGCAGCGCGCGCCGCAATATTGATCTGGGCAGTCCCCTGATCTGGGGGCCTGGCTGATCTGGTCGGCTGGCTTCGGATGATCTGACGGCCACCGCTGCTGCGGGGACACTCAGTGTCCCCGCAGCTGTGCGTCCCTGCACATACATCGACTACGGTTGGCATTTGCTGGCTTGCTTGCTCGACTTGGAATGCACGATTCGCTGTGCACAAGGTTTTCCCTTCCCAGGTGCGCGTGTAAAGCCTTGCGCCGATGCCCCGCCGCTGCCGCTTGCGCCCACGCGGCCCAGCCGGTTCGTCAGGGGCCCTGCCTGCTGCTTGGGACAGCGGCACCCCCGCGCGACGGCTCCAAACCAACGAATGCAACCCCTCGTGTATGGGGCTGATTGCTCTGCGTGTATCTGCATGTATTTGAGCAAGCTGGGGTGCTTGACATGACTGCGAGTGACCCAGTCAACCCCTGCGGCCCTCGCACATGCACCGACCGCCCACGTTTCTCAGCCGACCGCCCATGTTTTATAGCTTACGACTGCACAGAATCACATACCGTATTGTGTGTGTTTGCAGCGCACGTGCCTTGATTTCGCGGCTGGACACTCCCAACGGCCGCCCCAACCGCGCAAGTTGCGCACGGCTGCCCGCGCCAGCGGCGCGGCCATTTTGCTCGCGCCTGCTAGGGGTGACGAGGACGGAGCGCTGGACAGAGCTGTATTTGTGGGCTGTGTGAGTGGTTTGTTTGACACTCCGCACACGTTTCATGCTTTTGTTCTTCGAATCACCAGAAAAGGGTTGATTTTGAGCTTGTGTCAGGGGTGCTTGCATGTTGACGTTGACGTTGACGGCGGCTCATTCATCAGGTGGCGTTGGCTTGCGTGTTACCCGACACGACCAGCGGTGTCGCGCCCCACCGACGAACAGCGCAGGCACGTCCCCCGGCGGCCCGGCTATCTCAGGCCGTGCGCTGTCCGCAATACGAAGGTGTCTTCGCTCCTCTCCACACGTCCATTGCGGCGGTCCATGGCGCGGATGCGCGCGCAGGACTCGCTGCGCCCGTCACACAGCACCCACGTCTGGGTTGGCAGGGGAGGGGTTGCCTCGGTTGATTTCAAATCTGCCGAATTCCTAAGTTCCCCCACAGCGTGCCATGCCGAACAGCTTTTCAAGCAGGATGTGCTGTGCGGCTGCTTGCACGTAACCCTGCCGTGCACCCAGTCGCGCCAGCCAGGTGCGCGCTGCGTCTCTGCAGCTGCCGCGCATTAGTCAAGGCGCTCTTTGCGCCAGCGGCAGGGTTTTCGAACTGCACGGGTTCTGCAAGGTCACATACGCCATTACAAAATCCGAAAAAGCGTCTGATGCCAAAGCTGGCGTGAAACATCAAACCACGAACCGAGAATCTCCCGCGCCAGTCCGACGTCCACCCAGCGTCCGCGTTGTTGCGCAGCTCGCCTGCTTGCAGTCATGGCCACAATAGCCTCAGGTACGCATCGAGTGCCATGCAAGCGTGCCTTGGCGGGCAGCGCTGCAACACACAGCGCGTGCGCACACCCGGCGAGGGACCAACACTCACCCACTACTACCACCGACGCGTTCGACCCGTGCCGTGCCGCCTATCGTGCAGGCCTGCGGCGTCTGAAGGTAGCCACTCCTTCTGCACTGCCTTGTGCGCGCCCACTGCCACCCACGGCGCGTTCCGCGGCGCGGCGCCGGCCGCTGCCGCCACGTGCGGCGCCGGGCGCCTTTTGGGACGGCGGCGCCGGCGGCGGCGGCACTGAGAGCACCCTCGGCTGGCCCAGCGAGTGGGCCGCCGCCGGCGCCGGCGCCGGCGCCGCCCGCGAACCAGCGCGCCCAGCAAACGGCGCCGCCGCCGCCGCAGCGGATGCCGCCGCGGGCATGGCGGGCGCCGCCGGCATGCAGGCATCGGGCACCGCCACCGCCGCCGCCGGCGGCCACGCCGACTTTGAGAGCTTTGAGGAGGCGACGTGGGGCTGGCTCCACTGGGTGGACTCCGCCGCAGATGAGGCGCTCCTCTCCGACGGCTTCTGATGGCGGTGCGTCGCGTCGCCCCCGGCCGTCCATTGCTGCGAGATCTGGCGAGTCCCCCAGCTCGGGACACAACAGCCGTCGGCCGGGGTTCTGGGGCCGGCGGCAGGAAGAGGACTCTACTTAGGATATCGTCATGTTGTCCGTCAATAACCAGGAACCCCGCTTTTTGTGTATCCCATCACCACTTCCCCCCAGCCCATGCCCGCGCAAGGGTGTGTGCAGTACGCCGCCCTCCACCCCCCACCCCCGCCCTCAACCAATCTCGACGCCTTGCGCCGCCCCGGCTGCCCTGTACATTGCAACATACACCGCCCATACGCGTGTTACGGCACAGCCTTGCTCCTGCAGCCTCAGGCTTCAATCCCCACATATTTGATTGAAACCGCACCGCGGCAGCCCAACACACGCTCCTCACGCCCGTGCTTATGCACGCAACTGCAGCGCCCCCGCGCCCCCGCGCGCACGCGTACGTGTGCAGCTGCCTCGCCCCGTATCTTGTAACACCAATCACGCACTTTCGTCGCATGCAGGCTTGCTGGCATGCCGATATGGTTTCAGATCGATTTAAAACGGTCCAAAACCCAGGCCCAGCCATTTGAACCAGTGGGATCTGGTTTGATATTTGTACTCTTCTGCAACGAATGAGGAATGATGATGATGATAATGCAGTCTTCACCAGAAGTGCCGGCTGGGGCTTGAGCCCAGCTTGCGCAAGCCGGCAGAAAAAAGATTGGGTCAAACACAGGGACCCAGCAGGAGGCTGGTGCCTGTGTTGGTAATCAGTGCAACCGCCCATTTCCGTCCAATGCGCCCGGTCGTGGCGGCATGGGGCCAAGTGCAGGCACGTCGACACAAGTCAATCTGGGGTATGTGAAGGCGCTTCAGGCGCGGCCTGCCGGCGCGGCAGCCGCGCGCCTGCGGGGCAAGGCGTGCCGAGGGCCGCCCCTGCGGCCCGCGCCAGCGCTGCCCTCCGCCCGTCGTCACCGCCGCGGCGGCGCGGGCACGGGCTGCGCCGGCACGCCGGCGCCCGCGTCGGCGTCCGCCGCGCCGGGGCCGCCTAGGCAGCCGCCGAAGTTGAGCCAGCCGCCGCCGAGCGGCGCGCGCCGCTGCCGCTCGCGCGCCAGCTGGTCGCGCAGAGACTCTTCAGAAGCTGCCAGGCTCCTGGCCCGCGCCTCCGCCTGAGGGTGTGATCGATGGTTATACATTGTTATGTATAAGTATGGTGGATTTGTTCAATGTGTCATCCAACCCTATCAGCTGGGGCCGGGGTGACAGCTACGCGCGTGCACTGCGTTGGGGGGTGCGTCATGCATCTGCAAGCAATGCTGAAGCACAGCTCGCCCGTGCAGGCCAGTGTTGCTGACAGCTCGCCACTCTTGACCCCGTTGATCAACACAACCCGCTCATCCGCATGCGCGCGCGCACGCGCTCACACACACACACACACACACACACACACACACACACACACACACACACACACACACACACACAAGCAACGACCACACACATACATACGCAAGCTCCGACGTCACACATACACACGCGAGCCCCGGCCACACACATAGAGCCACCCGCAACCCCCCACCTGCGCCGCCCGCGCCTCGTACTCCCGCACCCTCCCCGCCGCCTCCCGCGCCGCCGCCGCCGCCTCCGCGCGCTCCTCAGCCAGCCGCGCCGCCGCCGCGGCCGCCTCCCGCGACAGCCACTCGCTCGTGGCGTGCGCGTACTGCCGCTGCAAAAAGGCAACCAGGCGGGGCCATTTGGTGGGGCCGGTGGCTTTCTCGGTGTATTCCGCTATAGCCTGGTCGAACTCCGCCAAGACCTGGAGCGCGGGATTTGCAAAAAATAGATGATGCATTTGTAAGGTAAACTCAATTTACTCTTGTCCATTCTTGGATGCTAATGTGTATGGGTTTCATGGAGAGGCTGGATTGCGCTGCATGACTGTTGATGAGACGGTTGTCAACCGCTCCATTAGTGCGGCGGCTCGGACGCCGCCCTCCGTTGCCTCCCAAAGCTTCAGCCGCACGCGCGGCGCGTCCGCAGGAGCGCACGTGGATACCCAAAAGCGTATCCAGGCGGCCACGCTCCCAGTCAGGTGCGGCCGGCCCCTCGCCGCCGCCAAGCAGACGCCCCCAATCTGCACGCCTCCCTGGGTCCCCCCCCAGGCGAGCCCCGCCGCAC